TTGTATTTCTCATTGTTCAAATGATAATAAGCATTTGCATAGAGCATATTTGTCCACTCATATGTTGATAAGAGTATTACAAACTTGAAAAATATTCCTCTAAGGTACATTTAGAACAGATAAAAAATGTGCGATTAATTTGCGATTAATCGCGATTAACTATGGACAATCATGCGATTAATCGCGATTAAATATTTTAATCGACCTAATAATAACATTAATAAGTTATTTGACATTTTTGCAATCATAAACTGTTATTGCTTGATTATAACTATGGTAAATGAAGAGTGCAAAGGTTTGACAGGCTCTATGATCAATGCTTGTGACAACAACAATATACAAAAGGTCGTAGAGTCTGTTATCTAAAAATACTTAGCGTGAAATATATCTGTTGAATTCTACTTTACTTTTGTAAAGGAGTTCAGTGGTTCCATTGTCAGGTGATGCTTTTGAGGCCTGGAAGCCTTGTAAGCATACCCAGCATTTTAAGCCAAGAACACAGTGCCTTGACCGAGGTATGAACCCAAAATGTAAGCACCCCTTCTTTTTAGACTTTACATTTATCAGGACTAAAATCTTCCCTTTTTACAAAATATTGGAACTTTCCATGGCAACCCGCTCTGTGTACTGCCATATGCCCATCACAGGCTTAATGAGACTATAACGTCTCCAAACAAACACTTCACTCACTTTAGCCACACTGGAAGGAAACAGTGGTGAAGCCCAATTATATTTGAGCATAGCCTCTTAACCAATATTTTTCAGATTCATAACCTTGATAAATAATGACTTAATCCTCTCCCTGCAGCAGTATCAGTGTTAGTAGTGCAGGTCTTTATGAACAAGACAAAGCTTTATATCCGTGTTTGCAGTCCATTTAAATTTCCACAAAATAAAATACCTAACTAACACGTTACGTTTACTGTATTTATTACAATAACTTGTTTGACTAGAAATGTCTGACTTGTTTATAGATAGATCCATTGTTTTAGTTTAGCTTATGTTAAAATGGTGGACATGGCCCAATGCATTTCTAGTTTTATATATATTTCTTTTATATTATATTATATTTATAATTATAATTGTTTTGACTGAAATTCAATTGCAATATGATTTGCAATCTCTGGAGGAATTGATCATGTTTGCACACATTTTCTTATTATCATTGAACAAAGATAAAAAATGGCCATGGAGTGATTTTTTTATCTGAAACAAAGAAAGATATTTTAGGTTCTAAAACTCAGATCTTATATTTATAACTGTATCCAAAACCTTTCCCCTCTCTGACCTCTCGAGATTTTATTAGAGGGTAACAGGTTGCAGAGAGGCCTATTCCGGCCGGGGAGTGTGGAACGTAGCCACAGACCTACTCCTTACCTCTAACCAATTCAGGTTCCAGTGGGGACCTTTCTCCCTGCGTGTGCCTATCCACCTCTGTTTCCTACTTCTTACTTGCTACCCTTTTCCTTCAACCTATCCTAAGGGAGTGCATGTACGTAGATACGTTGTGCCTCTCCACCTCTGTTCCCTACTTCTTACTTACTACTCTTTTCCCTCAACCTATCCTAAGGGAGTGCATGTATGTAGACACGTTAGTTTAGCTGCTATAGGCTTGGACTGCTGGGGGGGGCACCTTACTCCGTCTTTCTGTCTGTCTGTACCTGTGTACTCTCATGTTCCGATTAAACCAGCTTCCCCCAAATCTCTTTTTTGTGTCCATATATACGCCGGGATCCTGAGTCGAGGCTAATCCTGTTGCTGTGGTTGTGTGTCCTGGATCCTGAGTTCTGGACCTGAGTCCTGGACTTTGAGTCGTGGCTGAACCTGTCTCTGCGGTCCTGCCTGACTCTCACCATACTACTTCCCTGATGGCTCCCACAAGATTGCTGACATCCTCGTGGATTCATCTTCTTATTATAGACACATGCATTTCCAAACATTTGGACTACCTATGTTGCAAATGTGTTATCTCTTCGATTTACACACGGCATCTATTGCACGTCTGTCCGTCCTGGGAGA